GCCTGTGTTGATGCCAGACTGCACTGGCTTCCCCTCTCGGATCCAGGACAGTGAGATCTTCTTGGGACTGAAGCCTGTGGCCTGGCAGATGAGCTTGGAGGTCCGCTTGCTGGTGTCTGAGAAGGACTCTCGGGATGGGACATACACATTCACATTGGGGGACTTCTCTTCCACGGGCGCTGTGGTGAAGACATAGAGTTTAAGGGATATCTAGCTTGGGAAGCCATGTCCCTGTGCTGCCCACCGAGAAATGGGAGCCTGCTCCGTCTTACCTTGATAGGCCACCTGTACTTCCTTGTTGCCTTGGGGATGTGTGGCTGCACACACCAGGTACTCATCAGAGCTCTGGAGGACATCTTCAGAAGGAAGAAGCAACTGAGAACTGGCCAAATATGTTCCCTCCTGCATGACGGATGGGAAGGCCTTCCATTTCTGGGAGTTGACGCCAGTGTTGTTCTTGTATCTCCAGCTGAAGGTGATGGAGCTGGGCAGGAAGTCACGTGCAAGGCAACCCATGGCCACCGTGTTTTGCTCGGGCAGGATGCTTCCACAGGAGACAAGTGGGAAGAGGTTTGGAGCTGAGGGGTTTGCTGAAGACCCCAAAGGGGACAAAAGAGAAAGGGGAAAAGGTGAGACTTTTTTTTTTTTAATGTAAGTGAACCCAGTCCTTTTCTATCCCCCACGTCGATCTCTGTGCTTCCCTGTCCTGGCCAGCCATGGCCAACAGGAGGGCCTGTGTACTTCTCCATCCTGGGAAATCTTGCTCGGGATATATGAGAAGGAGGTGGCACTGTCTGTTGAGGCAGAGTGGCATGGGAATTTCTGCCAGGATTCATCACAGGGCCCCCGTCCCCACCGTTAGTCCTTGGCTGGGAGTGTTGCCCTGGCACCCAGCCAGAAGAGAAGGTATGCGCCTCACCTCAGAAATTGGACCCCAGTCAGGCCTCTCGGTTTCCCTTTCCAGACATTTAGCAGTGCTAAACCGGACCACAAGCAGCAGCCAGCAAAGGGAGAGCCATGCTATCTCAGTTGAGATCGAGCCCACCTGGACTCTCTTTGTGCAGGCACTTCCCAGTTTGTAGGGATCTCATGAGCCCCAGAAAGGTCAGTATAGTAGTGATATCCAAGATAGTGCAGCACAACCAGCTCCATTCACATTGGGCCCGTGTGGCCCAGACTAGTTCAATAGAACTCCAAAGCACCTCAACTGGCTCCTTTTACCAGCTCTGATCATCCCAGTAAAGCTGTGTTGGACCCAGCTCAGCTCATTTAAGTTACCTCAATTCA